TTCTTTTTGCTTAGGTGGGTGAGAAAAAAAGTGTTAAAGGTCAGATTGACGCTCACCATGCTGAGCTGCATGTGGTATGCAATATATTCCGTAAAAAATCATGACTGGTCCTTTCATTAAAGGTCAGATTGACGCTCACCATGCTGAGCTGCATGCAATATATTCGTAAAAAATCATGACTGGTCCTTTCCTAACCTTTCCACAGTTGACCTGTATGAAGAAGGAACACTAATACACTAACTTCCATAGTTTAAAAAGTAATAAATGCAATGTGCAATTAATTAGGTAGATGTGTAGTCAGGGTTTTTTTTCCATTCTCCTTATGCACGGAAACTGAGGGAGAAATTCAAACCTGCTTAAGCTTAGAACCAAGTGCGCTGATTTTTAGCATTACAATGGCAATGTCATATGTTTATACAAAGTATATTAAGAGCAGCCTTCCAAAATTTCTAATGAGTGCTGTAATAATTTATTATCTGTATTCATATGGAAACAACTGAGCTGGTTTATATTATCAAGACAATGTCCAGTTGGTGAAGCAAGCAACGCTTGTTGCCACAGAGGAAGGGAACAGCAGTCCAACAGAAGACAGTCTTCTCACAGCCTGTTTGGAAAGCCATTAAAATTAGATTTTCCTAATTATACCAATTAATGAGCTGATGTGAACAAGGTTAACTAAAGGTTTTGCAGTTCTTTTAGAGTCAGGGCAGAAAGAACCTTTTCCTTTTGTTGATATTTCTCCCTGTGATAGATAGCATTTATGGAAGATTGACCTGGCCAGTGTGCTTTTCATGGTGCATACTATGTTTAGGAGTGAAGGCACAGTCTCCTTTGTTGTAGAACATTGCATTTCTTTTAGAACTTTTGTTCAGTTTTGGTCTTAACAGACCAGTTTTCCTAAAGAAAAGTTCACACTGAAGTTTAGTTCTGAGTGGGTGCTTTTGTGCTCTGATTCAGCAATCCAGTGAAAAGTACCAAAGCCTGATGTCTCCGAGAAACGGAGGGGAAAACTGTGGGCATGGAGGGCGTTAAGAATCATCATGGGCAACATGTTCCACTTGGAGAAGAGGAGACTGACAGGAGACCTCATTACGGTCTGCAGCTTCCTCGTGAGTGGAAGCAGAGGGGCAGGCACTGATCTCTTCAGTCTTGAGACTGAAGTCAAGAAAAAGGCACAAAGCTGAGTTGGGAGAGGTTTTGGCTGGATATCAGGAAAAGGTGCTGTACCCAGAGGGTGGTTGGGCACTGGAACAGGCTCCTCATGGGAGTGGTCGCAGCACCGAGCCTGAGACAGTTCCAGAGGTGTTCAAACAACACACTCAGGCACATGGTGTGAAGCTTGGGGATGTTCCTGTGCAGGACCAGAGTTGGACTTGATATTCATGATGGGTCTCTTCCAACTCAGCATATTCAGTGATTCTCTGGTTTTCGTTTTCTGAATATAGAAACTATGATGAAGATGTGACTATTTCTTGCCAAGATAGTTTGAAATATAATTACTGTATCATTTCATCTACGTGAAGAAAGAGCTACAGCTTTTAAAAGCTTCTTCAAGATTCCCCCTAAGTATGATCCCAATTTTCATTCACACACAGACCTCCTGAATTTTCTTCTTAAATGAATGAGCAGAAAAGAAAAAAAAAAAAAAGATAATTCTCAGAGACTATCCCTTTTTGTCTGAAAGCAAGAGCATTCCCAGCAAGGAAGGGACAGTACAAGAATTTTAAAAGCTCTGGAAGACTTCAGGTTAGGAGGAAAAGATGTCAAAGTTAATCAAGTGCAAATCACTGTTTAAGAAATTCTTCCTCCCCTGAAACATCATTGAAGAGGACAAGCTGAGGGCAGACCTAATTCCAGGCAATTTATAGAAATACCTGAGTACCTTGACCCTCACAATTTGAGCTCTGAATTGTAAATTGTGTATCCAACTGCTTGAGTGGAACCCAGAATTTTGAACCTGTGAAAAACCTACTATAAAAATATCCTTTGCAATAGTGCCCTGAAGGGAAATTCACAGAAGTGATTCAGAAAATACAGCTAAGATAAATGCTTTGGGATATTTTCAGACTAGTTGTTACATGAATATTCCTGAACTGCGGAGGTTGTGTAATTTCAGCTTAAGCTCTCTGAATATGGGACAATCTGGGGACATTTTTTATATAGTTAAAGCTGCAACATAATTTCCTGAAGGTGAAGATTGTGCTCTCAGGGTGGATTGTTCTTTCAGGCTTTTACAACTGGCAGCCTGTCCTGTTCACAAAGGAGTGCTCTGAGAGCAGTCCATGAGGTGAGGCAACCAACCTGAACTGGGTGCCACCACCCAGGAAATGTTCCAGAGCAGTAGGTTTTACACTGGATCTTCTCCTGAACCAGAGAGGAGGTGCAAAAAAATGGATTGCCTGGGATAGAGTGGCTTGGTCAGCACCTGGTGTCCAGCCAAGGTCAGCCCACCACAGTGCAGCTCAGTGCTCATCCCTAAGGATGTGCACTATTCATTCACCTGCTTGGCACAAGGATCTTTTGGGGTTCTTTGTTCCCATAAAAAGGAATTCAGTAAACTTAGAAATGGCCATGGCCATCAACTGCTATTGATTTCTTTTTAACATCACAGGTGGCCTAAAAGTAAGAGGGAATATTTTGCAGAAAAATATCCTTGCTGATATGCACTGAGAATCTGCAGATAACTTGTTTCTTTAGTATATACAAAAAGATGTAGGAAATCAGAGGCAATTTCTGAATTTTGATCTCACTCTCCGATTGGGAAGCCAAGTGTCAGGACCAACATATTATTTAAGGAATTTGAAGAACCTGTTCTTTAGGAGAAAGCTAACAAGAGGTCATTTTCATCATGATAAAAATCTTATTAATAGTATTATTCTATGAGCCAGAAAACTTTCTTTATTTTCTTCTCTTTTTTTTTTTTTTTACCCTTAGATTGTAAAGTAAGTAGGATTGAATGTAATCATAAGTAACTTCCATCAACGTTTGGTAGCAAAGGTTTCCTGCCATGCTTGCTTGAGAACTGAAATGTTATCCCAGTGAAGGTCAGCTGGACAATTTGTGAGCGTTGAGGCTGATTCAAGCATCTAATACAGGGATGTGGAGTCTATCACAAGCCACAGCAGTGAAGGAATCTTCAAAAGACAAATTATCAGTCCTGGAGCATTTAATTGTAACCAAGTTACAATTCACAAAACAAGTGAAAACAAGATGGGTAATTAATATCTTGCACTTTTTTTGTCTATGAGGAAGTAGTAGGAAATACCAACTAATGCTAGTGCCAGCCCTGACCTTAATCAAATAATGTAGATACACTCTACAGTTTTGGATTTGTGTAACTGTCATTAAAATTGCATGATGTTAGACTCTGATGAGGAAACCATTGATTTTTAGGAAGGCCAGATGCTCCATAGTGAATAGTCAGTGTGGGGAAGAGTGGCTACAGTGAAAGCTTACAGATTTAGCTCAGAAGGTTCTAAGATTTCAGCTGTTACATGCAGAAATCTAAATTGGGAAGCTGTGAAGAGTTATTTCAGTATGTTAAGCCTGTAGTTTGGACACACAAAATATTTACTGCAAACATTGCAGAGATTAAAGGAAAAGCTTCTCTGTAGAGGCCTCCACAAATATTCCTGCAGTTTAGAAAAGATTGCAGTATTTTGATCATAAAATTGACAATCTGGACTTGCAAGCCACATGCAAAATAAAGTTCTCCACAGAAGTTCAAAGGCAAAAACTTTGTTGGCTTTATAACCAAATGATTATTTAAAAGCTGGAAAGAAAATGCCTTTATATGTCAATGAGCTTTGTCTCATGTAAAACTAATGAAAAATATTCTGTAAAAGAAGTGCCATTGCATATACTGATAATCCTGCAAAATTCTCCTGGCAAGAGGATTCATTCATTCATTTGCTTTCCAGAAATCAACTTTACAGACATTAAATAATCTACCTATTACAAAATTCCATGGAAACTTATAACGTTCTTCCCAGTTATGATTTTGAACTTCAAACTGATTGAGAGAAAGGATAAATATTGTTGGAGGGAAAAGAGGAAGAATGCTTTTATATATCCAACTGTGCTCAGAATTTACCATTGTCTCATAACTGCTCTTTTCATTGCGGCAAGGATTGAATACCACTAACTTAATTTACTTTGGAAACAAAAAGAAAATGTTTAGAGTTGCTTCCTTTGTTTTAGAAGTCCAGCTAGTTCTGGGGAAGATACTTGATAAAGATACCCTAAATTTTCAGGTCTAACCAGACAGGGATTTCTCCACCATGGCTAAGATGGCAAATGGCAGAAGGCAGCATAGTGGGGTCTGTGGTTGTACCAGCTGAGCAGGCATGCCAGGAGATGGCTTTGTGGCTCCAGGGAACCTGGATCCCTTTCTGACCCAACCAAATGGCCTGGATTAAACCCATGGGTACTGTTGATGAATAGTGTCAGATTTGATTCTGCTGTTAAAGTTGGATTTGCCATATTTGAACCCAATTTATGAAAACCAGTACTACTGAGCATAAGAAGTGCACAAACTGACCTCTCTGCTTTCATCTGTGAGAGTTCCCAAGCCCTGCCACCTTCATACCAGCCTTCCAGTGGGAAACCTGGTGGTAGCCATCATTCTGAAATGTTAATTTCTGCCAGACTGACCAGACTAAAGTGTTTTAATTAAGCCAAATGATATGTTCTGGACAACTTTCATTATGAATTTGGTTCTCTTTCTGGTACATTACTTCCTGAATGCTGACACTGATTTTCAGAGAATGTTTTTTTGAGCCATCCCTTCAGCTGATCTCAGTCAACAGAGCTCCTTGAAGTTAATGATGACAAGTTCATATAGATCAGCTGAGGATCCTGACTTAGAATTTCTCTATATGCTATGTAATAGTGTAAACACATTTTTTACTAGGTTGCACCTAGGATCCACCTCTTCCAAAGAGGCATTTCTGGAATGTGTTTTAGAGTGTTTTATACCCCTGTGTTTTGTTTTTCTCCAGGCTTTTGAAAAAGGAAGAAAATTTTATTTTTATCCCTCGTTCCCGTGAAGAGCTTCCAGAAAACTTTCCAAAGGAAATTCCTGGGATCTGTTACTTCCTGGAGGTCAGAAGTGGTCAGAAGCCGACAAAACCTTCCATCACGTCTGCCAGAGTGAGAAAGGTGTCTTACAACATCGGCACCATGTTCCTCCGGGAGACCAGCCTATGAGGCCTGCTGCAGATCAAAGACTTGTCAAAAAAGCACAAGCCCAGAACTGGGTCATGACAGGGGAGTTGGAGGTTCTTTGTGTTTCACTGCCTTCTTCTGAACAGGCAGTAAAAAGCTCCATGTAATGTCAGGCAATAATCATTTTAAAAGGTGGGTAACTGCTGTCAGTAAACAAAGTGGAGATAGGGAAAAAATATTAAACAATGTACTTCCACTTCCAGAGGAATTTCTTTCATAAACTTCAGTCTGGCCCCTCTATGGCAAACAAAACAACAAAACAAAACCCCAACTCTCAAATTAGAGGTTGGTCTTGTTTTGTGCAGAAAGGATGATGGTTCTCTGTAGATTTGCACCAGCTAAGCAGAATTGAGAGTCAGTTCTGATTATGCATTCCTATATTTAATGTGTTCTTCAGTAAGGTAATGATGTTTTTTAACTTTATGAACAAGCATTTCATACATATACTGTAGAGCTATTGTAACCTTCCTGGCAGGAGGAATTATGACTCAATACAAATATTGTAGGAATTTTACCTATTTTTATACATATTTCACTTTCTGGATAATTACATTCCACATACTGTAAGCTGAGTGAGCTTAGATAGCTTTTCAGAAGAAGTTACTGTATATTTCATACATTCTACCTATCAAACCTTATTGTTATACAAGTGGGAAGAAGGCATTTTTTGACTTTTTTGGCAACAAAAAAAAACCAAAACAATATTTACAGAATAAAACCCCCACTTTGATAAATCACTTTATCTGGTTTTTATGCTAAAGCTTTAGATGAGCACTGTCTTCTTATATAAAATAATGTTCAGTATTTGTCCTACAGTGTTGTATGTCCAGTCCTTCCAGGACAATGTAAACAAAGTGCAGAAGATCAATGTGTGGATAAACAGAAAAGTTCTCTTCAATGGGACTTGTTTTCCCTCTAAATTATCAGCCAAACTGATTTTCAGTAAAAGCTCTGAACTTCTCTAAAAATTTGGTCTTGTGAAAACTTATTCTGAGGAATTCCAGCAGACACTGGAAGCTCTCTGGATGCTGGTTTTCCACATTTTTAATAGGACTTGTGAAATTGTCACAAGTTTGCTTGCTGAAAATCCATTCTGTTTATAATGATTGCTCCTTTGGAAACTTCCTCTGTTGTTGGATTGGCTGAAGGTCCCCTGCTTTATCTAGTTGAGATCAAAAAAACCACCAAAAAGGGAAAGGCAGTACTTTTCCAGGTTTAATGCAAATGGCAGTTCAAGATTTTTGTTAGTCCAAGACAATTAAAAAAAAAAAAAACAACAAAAAACAAACCAAAACCAACAACAATAAAAAAAGATCAAAAAAGGCCAATTCTTTGCTGTTGAAAATTAATACAGTATTATTGTCTTCAATTAATCCAGTTCAAGCAAGATGTGTATCTGGAACATTTTCAGGCATTGTTTATTTCTCAGGTTTTGGTTTTTTTTTTACAAGTAGTGGTGGTCAGTTTTCCTGTGTGGGTGTGCTGCCTTTGGATCATACTGGGGTGGGTGATGTTGTTGTGAGCTTGCAGATTGTTAATTAAAATCTGTGCCGTGATTCCAAAGTGGCTTAGATGCTCGTGGGCCTTTAATCACTTTAATCAAAGATAAGACTCAGCAGCAACTAGGAGGCATAAGATACTCTGCATTTCTCTAATTCAGAACAGAAATGAGTTTGCTTATGGATTTAGTAGTCATAAAATGAGGCACCTCTTGAAAATAAATGAATAACTTTCACTGCATTTCAAGATTGTCCAGCTGGATCTTTCTGTGGAAGGAATGACAGTTCTCTATTTGTCCCCTTTGACCAGTAGCCCCTGTGAGTCTGCATGGCACTGCTATCCTGTGCTGAGAATGTTTCAGGATTCCTTTCCATGAAGCCTTTCTGGATGAGAAAGGACTGTCTTGAACCTTTACCAACTTCAGCATGCAGACAATGTCTGAACTTATTATGCAGGGGTGAGTTCTTCCTAGCCTGAGGAGGGTAGATGCATGGGAATTAGCCCAGAAACCTATTTTATTGCAAATTCCCTCACTTTCTAGTGGGATACTGATGTTAAAGATTTCTTTCATTGGTATTAGAGCATTCTTGGGATTAGAGGAGGTATTTTTTTATCTACCTTGATAAACAACATATGGAGTTCTGTGGCCCATCTGAAAAATTACTTAAAAAAACTGTTCAAGCTTGAGATTGTGAAATATCCATCCAAATTACAGATCTGAGAATTTCCTGCACAGGATGACAAGTTTCAGCCTATAGGCATTAGTTTGCACATAGACAGGATGTAGCATGCATTTTTTTTACCCTGGGAACACCAGTGAGATGTGTAAGAATCATAAATGGATCAAAGTTCATGTTTCACCACTGAAAGAGGAATGCCACTTCCCAGCTAATAAATCCATAGTTCTGATGTCATTCGGTAGTTCCCTAGAGTGAATTTTTTTTTTTTCAAATAACCATTAGTAGATTTAGATTTCAGTCTGACTTCTCTGGCACATCTTCATTGTTCAGTAGTTGCTGATGCCAGAGTCCCAACCTATCTGGCCAAGCTCTTTTTCTCTTCTCACCACCTATGGGAAGAGTACAAATTTAGAGGTTTAGACCAAAAGCTTACAGTTCAATATCTTGTCTCTCCAGTAAGAAATGTCTAGATTAATTCTGCACCTGATCTTGATCAATGGAAACATTTTCATAGTGAATGATGGATAAATGCTAGTTTTACTGGCAAATTGGAGAAGCAATCAAAACCAGTTTGTATCACCATCCTCATCCTCTCAGAGACTTTTTGTTGTATAAGTAGATTTAAAATCAGGTCTGTGTGAGAACTGAAAATTGATATCATCATGAATACATTGATAGTGTTTTCAAGTAAATCTAACTCGCCAAATCAGAGTACACTAACTGTATAAAAATATGCAGTCTTTGTTTTTTCATAAGCTTATGTAAAGGTAATGTATCTAGAACTGCAGTGCAGATACTAGGTATTATGTTATTTGTGTTATGATGAGGGATGTTACTGAAAAAAGTGTGGGCTCTCTGGGGACATTTTTCTATGTCAATGTGAGGAAAGTGTAAAACAAATTCTCAGCACTTTCTAAATTAGTAGTTGCATCTGCTGCCTTTCATATTAGGTTGCAAGCTTATTTTGTTGGACACCTTTACAAAGTTAAATGAAACTTATTATCAAGATTGATGTTGTCATGTCAGTTAGGTGGTAGTCAGACTGAACATTTCTCCAACAACACTTCTAGTGGTAGGGAAAAAGTTTTCATTTTCCTGGCATTGTCTTCATAAGTAGAAAGGTTCTCAGAATTTTGTACCTTGAGATGATGAGGTGGAGAGGTTAGAGGTGCTGAAATGGTTACAAAAATCATATACTCCAGCTGGAATTTTCTTTCAACTTTTTACTTCCTATAAGACAGATGATCTTTGGTTCCTCTGGGTAAGAATTTACATTCTTGTGTTTCTTCACATAGCTGCAAGGAGCCACATCTGCTGTCTTGAGTTTCTGTGCAGAACAAATCCACCCTCTCTGAAGAGAGAGGGAGAAGATCTATTTTGTGTTGCATGTACAAGGGAAAGGGAAGGTGATGTGAGGACCCCCCTAGATGGGTCCATCGATCTCTTTGTGGCCAGTTGCTTGTAGAAAAATCAGGAGGCCAAAGTAAAGAGAGTCCACAGTCATTTCCCCAGAACACTTCTTACAGATCTTGTGTCAGATTTTTCCATCTGCCTGAAGCTCCCCATCACACAGGCTTTTCTGTGATGCAGTTCATAGAGATCATGAACTCAGAGCAAAAAGGAAATAGTGATGAAGTGGTAGGGTGGTGGATAAATTTTGTTCTGCATCCCTCTAGTAAAATTTGCCATTCAAAGACAAAAGCCTCTGCATGGGAGAACTGCTACTAAGCCAGGACTCTCAAAGTGTGGTTTTCTTGCAGAATCCCAAAGGATATTTCATTGTTAATTCTAGAGAGCCAATAGTCATTAACTGTGATTGTGGTTTTGGCTTCTCTGCTCATTCCCACATTCAGTTTCAGATCTGAGTCTGTTTTGAAGCCTGGAAACACGCCTCTGCAAACAGAAAACCAAAGCTCTTAAAACCTTGGAAATCTTGTATGGGAATTGCCTGTTTTGAAGACGTCCTTGTGATTGGGTCATTAACAGTCCATGGCAGTTCATGTGTGTGCACATGCCATTTCACAGTGTTGTCTCCTCTTGTGCTTACAGTGTTCCCTACCAAGCCCATCAGCAGGTTTGCTCATGTTTAACATTCATCTTCCATTTTTTCCTGTACAAAGCAAGAGTGCAAAACCATGATGTGCTGCACGCATTTAAAAGTATCAGCAGTGCGCTAAGATGTAAACTCTGATAACCAATTTCACATTGTATATTTCTTGCTCTGAATAGATCCTTCTCTCAGGCAATTTAAACATGAATGGGGAAAAAAATAGCACCCAAAACAGCTGTGTTGAATTGCAAATGAGTCTGAGACCTGCACGGGTTGTTGGGGCAAGATGAATTGCTGGACAGCTTTCTGATTCTTCAGCTGCCACAAGCTGTCACATGTACATGCTTCATGTGGACAGTCTTGTCAAGGAGACTGTAATCCAGCAGCAGGGACATCTTCTGACTTTTCCTCTTCTAGTCTGAGGCCACTACGTCACCTCTGCTGAGTGCTCAGAGCTCACTGAGGAGAGCTAGCTCCCTGTCCTAATGCAGTCTCAGAGCTTCTGGCTTCCTTTATGGATTCTGGCGATCTTTTGCAAAATTGTGCATCTGTAGTATTGGAAATAGCAGTGTGCTTAAATTAGCAACAAAACAAGAAGCTAAAAAAAGCTTGTCAAACTCAGAGACAGTTGGTTCCTTTTCCTCGAGGTAATCCATTATTCATGGTGCTGTACAGGATTGAGTGTGCCAGTGACAGGAGAGGCTATGGATGAATTGAAGATGCTGAGTGTGCAGTAGACTCAACAAGTAGGAGGTGATCGGCTTCTGCTACTGTTAATAATTCCATCATCTTGCATGCTATGTTCTGCTCTTGTCAGGGTTCTGCTCTCCAAAAGATTTCCACTTACCTTCCCTTAGCACACTGTATGCGACATAGTGAATAATTCCTATTGTTGTTCTGATTAGCATGTATTGTTGACACGGCTGCTGACATCTAAAGAATAACTGGGGTTAAAGGGCTGATCTTACTCTTCTTGCAGCAAAGACAAAACAGCTATGGTGACACAGCAGGCACTCACATCCTTAGAGAGGGAAAAGACTGCAGTGCAAGTTATCACTGGTGGATTTGGGTGAAGTCAGTGCAGTAACAGCCCATGGCATGCTTTTAACTTTCACAAGCACCAAATTTATCTGTGCAGATAGGAGTTACTCCTTAACCATGTTATTCATTTGCAATGCATGAGCAGGCTTACAGCTAAAATCTGTGAAGTGTTTAACCTCATACACATGATTGATCTTTTGTGGCTTGGCTGTTAATCATGCTTGAAAGCAAGAGAGACAGTGAAACTGAGGAATGCAGCAATTCAGTCACAGGCAACAGATCATTCACCTCTGCAGATGCTAACTTGCTCCTGTGGCTTAGAAAGGTTGACCTCCAGTTATCTGTGGTCCAGGTTAGTGTCACTGTGTCACTGTAGCAACAAAATGGCCTCTAAAAACAGCATGAGGCATCTCAGTTTGCTTCCCTCTGGGCTGGGGTTCACATTAGAGAGCCTAATACAACATGTGATGCAAAGTGGCAACTTTGCTGGCAGCCTTAACAAAAGTAGAGGCAGATGTTAAACCAGCTGTTTGCTCCAGGGATTTTAGTTTCCAAAGGCAGAGTGAGGCTGAATGTGCTTTAATTCAGACAAAAAGAAAAGAGAGGATTTCAGAGAAATAAGGGTCTTCCTTGGCTAGCAAGGATGCAGTGGAATTAACATGAATCAAGAGGGACATGCTGATTACCTTGGCTGCAGCAGCACCTTCAGCTGTCTGTCCCTCTTTGGCATTCCAACAATCAAAGTTTCTTTTGAAAACTGGAGGACAGGTAAGCACTTCAGGGGCTTATCCCCTCTGCTTTAGAAAGAGTTTGAGGCTGCCTAATCCTTGAGTGTGCTTAACTTTCTCAGTGACCACAGACGGCAAACTTAGACTAGACATCTGTTTTTTAAGATGGCCAAGGTAAGGGAGACTGATCCCACTGAATTACATTCTTTTCAGCCGAAGTGCTGTGGCTCAGATCTTCTGTTGTGCTGCTTTTCAGCATCTTGCACTGGCCAAAATAAATTGAATAGAAATAAGTGTCAGAGGGATAGATAAGGGTATTCCAAGATAAGTAAAGTGTTACCACTGTAGCCATGGTGACTGTTGCGAACACGGGCTACTGCAGTTCTGCAAATCCCTCCCGGTGTCTGAAGCCTTTGCACATGATACCAGCACTGCCAGTCACAGCTCTGGGATGCCATTAGGAGTGTGATTTAGAAAAGGTTTTGAGCTTTGAGCCACCAGCCCATAAAGCCCCTAGCAAAACCTGTGTGCCATGTTCACCTGAACTGTATGCCAGAATGCCTGTATAAGCCTTATCCTGTAGTCAAGATGGTAATAACACATATAGATTCTAAAGAACAGAGAGATAGCTGCCAGGTTATCACTAACACACATCTTTTGTGCTTTTGTGAATTTGTTGGCCCAGAATTAACTTTCTGTTAGCAGAAGGTGCCACACTGAGGCACCTTCTTATTTTCTAGATAATTATTCCTTAGCAATACTCTCTAATGATTACTCTTGAAGCAATAAATAAAGCCATGCGAATCTCTTCTGTGTAGGCTCCTGTACAACACCTATCACCTTAACAAACCACTTTTCAGTGGGACATTAAATGGCAGAATAACACCCTGACATGTACTGTTTGTCCTTCCATCCTTTCCTCAGAGAAGAACAACATTTAATGGAATAACTTGATTTTTTGAGGTGTTGTTTTTTTTTTAGTTTTCTAAAAGTGTATGTTGCTACTCACTTATATAAGAGCAAAATCAGAACTATGGACCAGAATTAGAAAAGAATTTTGGATGTAAACAGTATTTTAAGAGACTGTCCACTAAGTAAGACTAGTCTCACATTGTAGAAAAAACAGTAGGGGTAACAGATGTAAGATATACCCAGGAATGATAAATAGGAGTAATAAACCAGGCATGTGTATACAATGGATTACTTCTGTTTTATACACAACAATAAATAGATGCTTAAACTGATTAATAACCACAGAGGGAAAATACTGTTTAATCCATTTTGGCATTTGTTTATTACCAGTACATCCCTAAGGTATTATTTTTTCCTTCACTAATGAGATTGGAACATAACTGCTAAATCAATATCAGAGTTTCTGAACTTATTGCAAAAGAACAAGCTTAGGAATAAATAACCATCAAGGAGAGATTTTTTTAGATGTGAGCCATTGCATGAGAGAACAGATCATATGGAAAAGAAAAATAATGTACTGACAGGTATATTTATTTTTTAAGTCTCTATGGCACTTCTGTTTGATCAAAATCATTCTGAAACTGTACACTGAAAGCATGGCTTCCCAGTCTAGAATATTTGCATTTCCTACAAAGAAGCAGGTAATTTTTAAATTCACATTAAGGGTCATACTTCTCAATCCCATTTTCTCTGCTTTTCTCTTTTTGAAAGCTGAATCTTTGCTGAGTGATCCTGAGGTTCTAGATGCCTAAATAAGTTTTGGAAATGTGGGTTAGAAATCCGCCCTCTAAATTGGGTCCCACGTGCTTGTCAGTGTTTACGTGTATAATCATTCCTCTCTGGAAACTGCTCGTAGGCCCTGCAAGTGTATAAATAAGAAACATCTGAAGAAAGTGAAGTCTGTGTGTAAGAGAGGGCAGCTGTACATAGATGCGGTGCTGATGTTAGCTTTTATCTATTTGGAAGCTGGATGATGCAGAGATTATTCATACAAAGTGCAAGAAAGTGTTGCACATAGTGTCATGAACTCTGAGGGAGTAAGGTTGAATTTTAGAGTCTATAATCCTTAAAGTTTTAGTGGAATTGCATGAGAAATGCATGATTTTTGATTTTTTTATTTTAAGCAAGCGTTGCATCTCTACTTACAGAGAAAAATTGTGGGGGGGGGTAAAAGAAAATCTAGAAAGTCTAATTGCAAAATGCAATGAGTGTCCTGCTTTTTTGTATTCTTTGGCTTGTCTGGAGGAAGGAATAAGAATTTCTCTATGAGTTTCAATACTGAATGCAACACTAGATATGAAACAGGGCAAGTGAGGTACTTTGCCAACTGGAAATTTGGAGGTGGTAATAAGAATGTCTTTTAAAAAGTATATAGGGATAAATGTTAGCACTTTTTTAAAAAATGGAGACTGCTTTGCTCTGCAAATGCACATTGTTTAGAAATACCTAAACAGAAGGAAAGCTTGGAATACTGGTGTATCATAATAAAAAGGTACAAAGTCTATGAGACAATCTGCAGTTGACACCCTTTCTTCATAAACAGTCCTATATATGGAGTTTTCAAATGCAAATTCAACCAAGAGTTGTCTCTAGTAAATTTCCAAGGAAGTAGTATTTTATCCAGCAGCTTCTGCAGAAATGTCATGCAGATCATGTTGGGTAAGGCCAAAATTTAACTCAATTGTTTAGAGCTTAGTAAGAGATACAGAACATCCCAAAGCCAAGCTTTTAATGAGCTTACTGACAGGACAGCATTGTGCCTTTTACTGAGGTCTAAACAAAACCCATTCTAGATAAAACTCCCATCCTAATACATGACATTTATATTGCCTTGATGAAAATGCTGAAATTCACTAAGTTGCAGACATTAATGTCTTTGATGCTAGAATATTCCTTATTATTCTTATGTGTCACTGTGGCCAAGTTGCACTGGGGTCCTCTATAGAACCAAGGGTTTGGGGAGTTGTTGTGAATATGAGTGAAATTCAGCTGATCTGCATTTAAGCATCTAAAACTTATGTCTGGTCTGAGCTAGTCACATCAGTTCCCTCTACAGTCAGTGCAGACATCCTGGCATTTCAAAGACTGAGCTGTCCTGGAGAAAGTCTTAGGGATGAGATAAACCACTGCTTTAGCTATGCTCTTCTCTTTCCTCCCCAGTGACCACTGTGTGGAGGTGGAGGATTGGTTCAGATTAGCTGCTGTGCTGCAGGTGAGATAAATTCCACTGCTCTTAAGAATGAGAAGATGTAAAGAATAGAACATAAATACATATGGAGACAGAGACAGTGGGGCAAGGGCCAGGCTTCAGCCTGAGATTCAAAGGGATGTGACAATAAAATTATTAATGTATAAGATTTTAGAAGTCTGGCTTGGGAGTTTATTTTAGTTATAAGAACATTCCTTTCAACTTAAAACTAACAATCTGTGATTGTTGCTAACTCCCCACTTTTGCTCTAAGATAGCACTAGTGTATTATCTGATGTATTCACCAAGAGCCATCTCTCCAAACCATCATGTTGTTTACTGCTCGATTCCTTCTTGGAGTAGCTACTTAGTAAATTCATCCATCCATCCCAGAAATGTATATATTTTTTTTAACGTTGAAATGATAAATTTTCCTCACCAATTTTTTTTTGTTTTGTTTTCTTGAAACAGTATGTAAGTCACTGTCTGCAATCACTTGGGAAAAAAAGGGGAGCAGAGGGTGAGGTGCTGGCTGGACATTCTCTCACTATGATTGTAGTTCCTAAAGTTTCTATCTGACCCCTCCTGAATCGTGCTTGTGTTGTGATGCACTTGGCATACCCAGATTCTCTGACAGGAACTGTGTCAGGCTCTGAACCGGAGAGGAGTGGGAAGAACCAGGGCTGCCACTCTGCCACACTGCTCCCATACGTCTCCCTTCTGTTTGCAATTTCCATTCTGATCCTCAGACATCTCTGGTGATTTTCACTGCACTCGTGGTCCGTGGGAAAGTTCCTCTTGAGAGGAATCAGTAGTATGCAGTCCTCAACACTGTGATCTGTTGCTCTCCAGAGAAAAGGATTAGAAGTGGTATTGTCCTCAAGAGCTGAGAAAACTTGCAGATTTTCCATGTACAGTAAACAGTTTCTATAATTACCAGGAAAACAAAACAGAGAGGCAGAGCTGTGCAGCAGGGCCAGCCCATCTCATACACACTGCTGTGATAATGAAATCCAAACCCTGAGGAATTGCAGGCGCATTATTCTTACTTGCTTTAAAGGTCAGCTAAGAGGCTGATCTCTCAAATGGGCTCATAGCTCTGAGACAATGTAACACTAGTAATTTCTTCCAAAAATTGCAGTTGTCAGAGAAACTGGATTAGTAGCTCATGGAGCTAAAAATAGACACTATGGGCTTGCCAGAGAGGGGTGAAATCAGTGACAGAGGTGAAGGTACATCAAAATATCATAACTTCTGGAGAAAAAGCAACAAAGAATGCTCAACTGAAAGCAAGTTAGCCATAAAATTACATTAAAAAGAATTGTAATCACAAAGAAGAAGAATGACGAGGTTCAGTCTTAATCCTGTTTTATTCACCTTCTAAGTCCACCTTGCAGTTTCTGTTTTATCTGCTGAATCACTTTGGCCACAGTCTCTCCAAAGTTAAGTGCCACAAATTAAGCACTGAAAGTCATGTTAGAGCCATTATTTGAATACTGAAAAAGAAATTTTTGGTTTGATGTTTCCATCTTCTTCACAGGAGGGAGGAGGATATAATTTATTGCTAAATTTATTCAAATGAAAAATAAAAGCTAAACTCCCAAAACCCAAATCTAATAACAGAGCTACAATGAAAGAAAATTTCTAAACCTCAGCAAATCTTTACTAAAAAGTGGGTAATTATTTTTCATTGCCTCAAACATTTTTGTTTGAGGCAATTTGCTGCCGTAGAGTTGTATCTTTCAGCTTTTCCCTTTAATTTCAGTGTTGCCAAAGTAAAATCTGAGGGCTAATTCCTATCTAAGGTGGTCACAAACATCTGTAGTAACAGAGCCAGACATATGTAAAGGTAACTTGGATTATTGTACAAAGATGGCTTTCACCTGAGTTCATGATGCTCAGTTCTGGGAGTGGGAATTTTAGGAAGGGTTATGAACCACCCATTGCTGGTGTGTAATTTACAGAGAGCAGACCAAAGGGACAGAACTGTTTAGCAGAGTGCAGTTTTAATTTCAGCTTTATGAATGCTGAGAATTGCTGCTTGTCTTGTTTCAATCTTCTCTGTTCTGGATTTTAAAGAATTCACTTCTGTGCCATGATTTTGGAACTTCATATTGCTTCTTGCTTGGATTTAACAAACTAAACAAAACAAACCACTTCTTTATTCTTAATTCTTCTTCAATTACTTATTTTCTGCAGCAGGGCAATTCCACTACACTGTGTATGACCTGAAGGAGCAGCAATCCACTGCAGACAGGGAACCTCAGCCTGTTTGGTCAAGGTGAAAAATTCTTCAAGGTACAGGCTGGGTCTCAGCTGAAGACAGGGTTGGCAGTAGTTGTATGCAGTTTCTACTATGACTTAAGTAATTATCTTAATTGTATATTCACCTATGCATAGCTCAGGAATAACCTTCACCACTTTCTTTACAAACTCTTTCTGTAGTGTGTGTCTTTTCTGCACACCTGTTATATAGTCTCTGCATTTCAGATCTGAGGCACTGGCAAGTGTAGGGTATAAATAATAACTTATGTCAGCAAAGCAAATCACTGTGGAAAATACTTGTAAGGCATTTATGCTCGTTGTCTTTTGGATGTCTTATAAAGTTCTTTGCAAATTTTTGTTCTTGCAGAAGTCCTCATTGTAAAAGAGGTGAAGAGTAATCTTGATTTTGGGATTTAATTAGCATCAGTGCCATTTATCTGGCACTCAGTGTGTCCCATTATTACCAAGGTGTTAAGGTTCAGTGGTGGAACAGAAATGTCAGGACAAGCAGCACCAGCGGTTATCTGCATCACATGTCCTACACATTATCTACACATTCCATGGCATACTTTGAATTTTATAGAACATGATATGACTGCTTAAATTTGTAGAAATATAGTTAGGGATAAATAATACAAAATACATGGACATTGTCTGATAGCTATCTTGAGATATTATGGCTATATTGTCACCTACTCTTGGGATTACTCTAAACCAAATCATGCACCTTTAGCATCCATCCTTACTTCAGTGAAAAGCATGGCCCTCTTCATCCCTTTACTTTTTAAACTTCAGCTTCTTCAAAGCCCAGAGATTAATGACACAAGTATTTTCCAGCAAAGTATTATAAGAGAACAGTAACTGTTTGTTTTTCCCTGAATATGCTGTGCTCCACTGTTAGGACTGACTACATTCCTGCTTGAAATAAATTTCCCAGTTTACTAAAATTTGCTAAAGTTCTTCTTTGCAGGATCCCACAGTGCTTTGAAGAGGCTGTGTGTATCCTGTTTGTGCAAGTCACAGGTGCAACACATAAATATTAAGACGTTCTCAGATCACCATCCTGGAGAGTCCAACCAATTATTTCGCAGCCACAAATAATCCTCTTACTCTCTTTGCCACTTTGCTTTGCCTCTATAGCCAATCTTAGAGAGGGAACTGAATGCTGCTAAAAATAATCTACTGGTTTATATTTATATATTTCAGTGGGATTAGTTTGTAATAAACAGAAACTTTTGCAAAACAAGCTTGTATTATTGGCATGAAATTCACAGCCTGGACCTACCAAGTCGTAGTTCAGTCTCTTCCCAAAGCCTTTGATAACAAATTGAACTTTGCACGCAGTTTCTCACGTAGAAGAAGAGATAACAATTTTCCAGTTGTCTGTGACTGTGATTCTGATTCTCCCTTCTAATCAGGAGTCATGGAATTCAAGAAAGTGTGAATGGAAAATAATTTCTAGTACTTCATTAAACAATTTTTCCAGAAACCAGCTGAAATTGGTGATTTAACTGGTGATTCATTCAGGCCCTTCTTCATTTCCTCTGAAAGGAGTGCTAGAGGACAATTTGCTGCCATAGAGTTGTATCTTTCAGCTTTTCCCTTTAATTTCAGTGTTGCCAAAGTAAAATCTGAGGGCTAATTCCTATCTAAGGTGGTCACAAACATCTGTAGTAACAGAGCCAGACATATGTAAAGGTAACTTGGATTATTGTACGAAGATGGCTTTCACCTGAGTTCATGATGCTCAGTTCTGGGAGTGGGAATTTTAGGAAGGGTTATGAACCACCCATTGCTGGTGTGTAATTTACAGAGAGCAGACCAAAGGGACAGAACTGTTTAGCAGAGTGCAGTTTTAATTTCAGCTTTATGAATTCTGAGAATTGCTGCTTGTCTTGTTTCAATCTTCTCTGTTCTGGATGCTGGATAAAAGTATTTGGTCCTCCTAAAATATGAAGACTGACCACCTCCAAGGCTGCACTCCTGTGGAAATGGACAAATATCCATCCCCTGGGTGCAAAGGCTTTTTGTGTAGTTCTGTAATACTGTTGTAGTGTTGTCTTACAGAGCTTATCTTAAGAGACTTGTACAAGCATTCTGCACTAATAAGATTACAACCTTGCACTATCAACAATGGTTGCTTAGCATTAAAATAATCTTGGATGCCATTAAAGAGTACTGGAGTTCTGTCAGGGTTTAGAGCACTGAGATGTTTGTGAACCTGAACATGTTTGTATGAAATTTCTCACAGACAAAGGATAATCTAATTAATGACAGTATTTCCATTTTAGTAATACACAGAGGAGGTAAGGCAGTGTCCCTAGAGACTTTTGTCAACTTAATGATTAAGAGATTAATTTTAGTACTCTGTAAATCTGAACATTATTTTAAAACATCGGCCTGCAATCAATTGGGAAGGGATGGGGTGGGTTAGATTTTTGCTGTCAGGGGGAATGAACAGAAAAGCTCAGAAAGCATAAGCCAGGATCTTCCCACACTGAAATCAAGGGATTAATTGCAAAATTGCATCTGATTACTTGTCCTGTAACTAGCTGTTCAGCAAAGGAATCCGCCTGCCAACAGAAGCAGAGTCTATACAAACTATCATATGCTGCATTTAAATTTTTTTATTGGGATTTGTTTGGCAGACTTAGGGGTCTGGAAGTTCCAGTAAGTACCTCTGGTTGAAAGTTGCTATTTCAGTTATGATTGCTTCCCCAAACCAACTGAATTTATTACTAACCAAAGACTTACCTACTTGAAAGAAAAACAAAACAAAAACAAACCAGTAAATTTGGTTCTGTCATTTGTGTCTTTTTTTTGACTGTGAGCAGTTGAAGTGCATGATGTATGTACTAACCAGGCCTGTGCTGTGGCATTGAACAAGTTATTCAGGGCTGCAGCACCAGTATAACACATTCAGAATTCAGTATTAATCCCTCCATGGGAACATGAGTCTATGTAAAAACTTGATGTGCCATATGTGTAGGCCATGGGAAAAATGTGTGTGCAGTGAACTATATACGGTCTTAAAAGCTTTAACATTTGTACTGCTCTTCCTATAACAGAATGTGTGTCTTGATAGCTGTTGATCCTATGAGCTTCTGAAAAAAAAAAGTAATCTAAAGTTTATTCTTCTTGTCTTAAAATTACTGTTTTGTGTCTAACTGTTTACACAGACCTGCATACAGCAAATGGTCTTTCTCTGTGTTTTGCTGGGAAGTGGAAAAGCAGATGCCATTTGTAAATCTTGCAGGCTTAGAGAGATCAGTGAATGCCTTTCCTGAATCTCCTCCTGATAAGCCACTTCCATTTACTAGCAAATGCAAACAGTGCCAATAGCCTGGGCCTTCTTTAAAGGAAACAAAACAGCCTTGTTCTGTTCCACGTCTACTGATACTTCTTATTTTAATCCTTCTGCCTCATTTTGAGTAGGCTTTGGTGATACAATTCTTCCAAAGTGTAACTGAGGACAGTTTGCCTTTTTTACCCCTCTTTTTTCAAAGCCACTGAAGGCCTCAAACAAGAAGAAGAAACTTTACAAAACTCATGCAGGTATGTTGTTAACAGGTAGCAGAAGGACAAAACAGCCTTCTCAGAGTACCCCAGACTATCTTTTAACAGTGTGCCTGCACTGTGTTGTGACTTGACATCTTGCTTTCATAATGTGACCTGGTATTAATGGTGTTTGTTGCAATGAGGTCCTTTTAGTTTGTCCTAAAAGATTTTACTTGTTTGTTACCATATTAGAAACATAATGTACACTCTATAAGAAAAGCAATATACAATATACTATACATCTTCTATTTCAATGCCTCCAGTTTTAGGCTAGTATTCATATCAGTGTTTATAATCAAAATACAGGTTTTCTCGTTCTTCGCAGGACCAAGCAAAGTTTTGCCTTGTCTAAATACTAACAGTAACATTTCTATTCAACAAATACTCTTTTCTCATGCTTCTAGTTTTCTTGTGGTGGGCTCCATCCTCCTGATTCCCCATTAATACACTTGAAAGGGAAAAGCAATGAGCTATTTCAGTGCATGACCTTTGCACAGTACCTGATTCATAAAGATAAATAGATCCAAAATTTCATTTATGAGTTAGTAGTGATCAGCAAAACAACAAAAATCCTTTGAAGTTCAGCTGAGGAAATTCTGAAGTTCTTGCATTGCTTATTCAGTTTTGCAGTTTCTTGAGTCATTATAATGGATATATTTGATGAAGCCTTTGCCATAGACACTGGCATCTTCACAGAAATTGTTCTAATTTCTGCTTCCAGTTATATGTGAAAGTGTACTGTAAAGAAATTATTTGGATTTTTAAAAAAATCATGCAAGTTTTCTTCACATCAGTTCTTACTTTATTTGACCTCATCTTCTGGTAGGTAGCTAACTTTAATTAATTCTTTTCATAATAGTAGTACAGTGTCCATAAAAATGTTTATCCAGTGAAACCTCACTCAAAAATATTTTGATCCTGATTGTGACCAGGATGCTTTATTTCAGAGCTAAGCCACTGAAGAGGTGATCAAAAAAGACAGAATATTAGGACAAATCAAGAAATTTTTGTGTATATGGTGGGAAAGTAATTGAGTTGGTTTTTTTTTCTCATTAAAATTTGCTTATACACATTACAGCTGCTCATAAAATATTTATTTCTTCCTTCACTGCCTTTCTTTTGAAGTCAAAAGATCTCCAAAGCAAAAAAAGTTACCTGACTTTGTACAAATTACATAGCAAATGCAATCCAGACAGCAAATCCACCCAGACTTTAGTAGTCCCAATGGTAGCTAATTCACTGGAAGTCATTGACAGAGTTTGTTCTTCTGAACATTGTAATAACACAGTGTGAAATGCACTGGTTCACTCACATTGTTGGCTGCTCAAGATACCACCCAGACTGTATTTATTATTCTTCTCTCATTGCTTGGAAAGGAGTAAAAAGAAAAAAAAAGGAGAAAAAAACTTAAGTCTGTCTCTGCCTTACTTGAGTTCTCATATGTGCAGACTGCATCTGGTAGTATGCTGCAGATGTGCTTTCCCATGGCAGAGAAGATGGTTTATCTCTTTTGTGGTGCCTTTTTTTTTCCCTGTCTGGAATTTTTTGACATCTCTTCAACCATGTCAGTAGCTTTTTTTGGGCTGCTCAACGCCTGGAAATCCTGCATGAAAGGCATCACTAAACAAGTGCAGAACAATTCTGTATCTCAGGTGAGAAGTTTTGTAGGTATATTTTAGGTTTGTTGCTAGGGACAGACCAACTTTCCAAGTTCAGTGGGCTCACCTTATGCTGTAGAGCTGATGTGTAAAGGCACAAAACATGTTGACACGTTGCTCAGCTAATGCAGACACATGGTCAATGCAGTTCAGCATGGCAAATCCTGAGAATATGGAATTTGCAGCAACTGGAATTTCAGTTGTTTGCAGGAATACATGATATGTACCACCTACTCTCTCTTGTGTCATGAGAACTATATAGAAATATAGGAAAATAAGAAGGAAAGGAAAAAAGAAACAAATGAGGGCAATTGTGAGGCAGAGCTCATTTATCAAATTTCACATTCCAGAGGCAAACTAAAACCATTCAAATTCAGTGGTCAGTGCTGATCAGCCATCTCATAGGAGTTCCATCTCAGTTTCCATAGGTAAATTTTATACTGAGCAGCTATAATACTGCCACGGGGCAGGAGGTGTTTGACTTCTCAATAACCACTAAAAGATTGGTTAAAGATTGGTTGCTGGAGTGCTCAATACCCACACACCCTGCTGGGTCTTGGCAAGTCGGATTCAATTTCCAGGTTTCCAAGGTTTTGTGGTGGGAACTTTGAATGTTCTTGTGAATCAGGACTGACTAGGGGTGGTCCTAAGCCTTCACAAACACACGTCCAGGACCAGTTTTACACACATCCTACACACATGCCTACGTATTTTATGAATCAGGTCTGTGATCAATGTTTTGAACAGTTAACTGCAGTTTCATGGGGTTATTCTCTCTTCGGTTTGCACTGTAAATAATACTGTACATCTGCTATTTTATGATACAAATGCCATGTGAGTTGCTTATTTTTAAAATGTTATATAGCTCTGTTATGATTTATTTGCGATGCCATATTACAGTATTGGTTTAATATACAATGTATCTCAATGGCATGAGTGAAAATGCTTATATTTTGCAATGTCAAATATTTTATTTTTGTTTTTTAAAATGAATACATTTCATCCTATGCAGTTCCATAAATGTTTCTTAAGTGGCTCATTATGTCCGAAAATATTGCTTCCTCTGCAGTAGTGCAAGCATAAGAGCTAGTATTCCTGATCAAAATTATCAGATATATCATCTAGCAATTTCAGATTAGAAATGTATGTACAAATATGTAAGCATTTATAGTTAATCAGAACATCTACTATATCTTCCTTGCTTTTCATATAATGATACATTTTAATAATTTTGTATTCTTTTTATTTGTATTTGTGATTCATACACAGTGTAAATAACATGTTTCATTATGCAAGTTTTCTAGGTATTCAAGACTACAAAAAGGTTTGTATATGAAAAGAAATTGAAAGTAGATTGGAGTGACATAAAATAAAGTGGTGATGACTATGTTCTATTTATACTGTTCATTTCCAAGATGTCTGTTAAAGAAAAAACATTTTATTTGCCCTTTAATGTCCAACCAGTTATTTGAAGTATATTTACATCAATAAATCATGCAAAAGTCTATTAAAAGTCATGAAGAATCATTGAGGCTTTCTTTTCTTTCTGTTTATGGTTTACCTATGGAGAGCCGGATTTAAATATACGAAAATCCAATTCAGTGGGAGCAGTCCAAGAAGTCAGTGAAGGTATTTGTAGAAAAGAACTTTTTTCCCCTCAAACCTCACCTTCTAGCCCAAATCCAAATTTGTTTTCAAACAATAAACCAGTAAAACACATTAGAAGAAAATGCTACATGCTTGAATTCATTTTGTGTATATTCCTTGACATGTAATCTTTGGTTTTCATGGACATGGCCATGCTAAAACCTTACTAAAGCCTTTGTCCTCGGCTGAAGTTCCGGCATTTTGAGGCAGAGCTTCTCAGGAAATTTAACAGATTGTTGGAAAAAAAAAGTCTGGTGTGGGTGATACTACAACAGCTGATTTAGGTGATTGTTCAGTTCTTGGTTCTGTAGAACAGCAGAGCAGATCAGATTTCCTTCCTGGAGAACAAAGTGAGAGAACAGGTGACATTGTAGGGGAATCCCTGCCCTAGCTCCTTGCTACTAGTGCAGGAACAGAGGAAGCTGGCGTGCTCTAGTGTCGTGAGCTTGACAAATGCTGTTTGTGTTGCCCACTTTTTCATTCCTTCTGAATCTTTTCTATATCCCCAAGTAAGAAAATGACTCATTCTGCTCTGCTATTTTTTTACAGAAGACCATTAAGTAGAATTGGTTGCAATATTTTTCTGCAGAATATGCTACTGGGAGAAAATGGAATTTCAATCAATTGTGTATGTTGTTGGGGGGTTGATTCTGACATTTTTGTTCCAAATGTTCTTAGCTCTTACATGGTTAAAGCTAAAGCTAAGGAAGGTCTAACCTGTCCTGAAAGTTCAGGGATTTTTGCTGGCTTTAAGACTGGTGAATATTTTCTAGGAAGGAGACTGATAATTTTCCTATTCCTGTCTTGAAAATTACTCCAGAAAATTATTCTGATATTTTTAGATGGGAATTTTAATAACTCCAGTATGTGGAAGTCAATTCTTGTGCACGTTATATTTCAGATTCTTGTATGTTAACCAGGAAATTATGATAAAGACAATTATCAGAGATTTATTAGCTGTGAGAGTTACTCTTTTATGAATAGAACACTACATTTTGAGATTTCACTTTCTCCAATAAAGTTCCTTTATGTGACTATATGAATGCAGGGAATATAAGAAGTGACTTCAGCTTAACACCCGTGTACATTAAAGATAATTCCAGGACAGAAGTATATAAAAGGAATAAAAATTTGTGTAGACAAGGACAACAACAGTTATGAAAGCTCTTGCTTATATTCCAGAAATGATACAGGAAAGAATTGCTCAGGTTTGAAAAGATATGACTATGATAAAAATCTCTGAATACTCTGTTGAAAAGAGATAGAAAATTATTATTCTGTGTTTCTTATAATGGCAGAATTAGAGGGCATTTGATGAGGTTACAGGCAGCAGATTAAAAACAAGTAATGCAAGAGAAAGCACTTTTTTTTCCTTAGAGTGTGTAATCAAATTGTGACTCTCAGTGCCAACAGAATATTTAAGAGACTAAAATGGAAGCAATTAGAAAACCTGATGAAGGATAGATTCGTCGACTGATTTCAAACATGTTGAACTGCATGCTATTGTCAGCTCAGAAAGCCACTAATCCTTTGTTGCACGAATCTGGGAGAGTGTCCCAGCCAGAGGGCTTGTAATACTTTTTTATCCCCTCTTTATCCCTCATACCATTCCCTATGGATATCATTCCAGAAAATTTGCTGGGTAGATGGGGCTTTCAAGAAAAAGCCTGGGTTTGTATTTTGATACGGGAGACACTGGAAGAAGAGAGTCCAAGATGATCTGCAGGCTGGGGAAAGAATGGAGGGGAAGAGAATTTGAAAGCCATACCAGCATCTGGAGGTAGCATAATGCACTGGGAACTTGCTGCTAATATGCAGTCTGGGCATCAAAGCTGGTCTGGGTAAAAGAGGTGGTCTTCATTGGAAGACAAATCAGAAAAGAAGATTTTTGCTGAAATGACAGCACAGACATGTTTCCTGTGATCTTTCAAAGCACTTTCCCTGTGCCTAGGAAAAAACCCAAAAGTATGGACCAAGGCAATAAAAAAATGTGCAGCAATGGGCCCAGATCAGTTTTACAAGAAAGACTTGGAGAGCTGTCATCATCTTGATGGGAAAACCACTCTTGTGTGTTGACTCTGCCTGGGTACCTGGGGCACAGGCCTTGTAGGATGAAATCTGAGTAACAGCTTTAAGTGGGAAAGACTGTTTAAGTTTTCCTCGCATGTAATATTCCTCCTTAGTTTCAGTACAGAGGGAGGGAAAATTGATAAATATACCAAATAAAGAAGCTATTTTTGTAGGTCTGCACACCTGGTATATATGAGCAGATCACATACTTTTATTCTGTTTTGCGGGCATGTATGAGATGCACTGGCTAAGTAGATCAGAAACTGAAGTCAAGGATCATTTTGATTCAGTATTTTCATTGAAGATCTTAGCACAGAGGAGAAGAAATTACATCTGTTGATGGTACAAAACAGGGAGCTGTTCTGTTACCAACACAAGAGGCAAATGAAAGAAGGGAAGAATAGAGCAGCCTCCAGACCACATAAAATAGAGGTAGGCTGAAAGGATAAGTAATGTCTGCCAGGATTAATTGCAGGTATTTGCGTAATAACTGGAAACTCGTAATTTAGAAGTGGCAGTACAAGAAAAAGAGATGGAAGGGTACTGAGGGAGAAGTGTATGATTATACCCACTAATGTCATGTGAAAAAGAGAGAGAACTGTTTCTGATAGATACAGGGAGATATCAGTGGCATTGCATAAGGTACTTATGTGATCATATCTGGAATACTGTGTGTAATTCTGATTATTCAAATTCAGGATATTTTTGTGACTGGCAGCAACATAAAGCCTAAGGGAAGTATAATTATTTAATTAGCCTGTTTCTTTTCAAGCAAACCATGCATCTTTTAAAGGGCATACACATAAAGTGTGCCTGATGTATTTTTATGTCTTTAGGTAGAGAATGTGGCATAAAAAATGTTCAAAATACTCACATTTCTTCCTGTTCAGTAGGCTAAGGAGGTACAAAGTGATACAGCTTAATAAAATAGCCAAGAAATAGAGGAGGCTGAGTTATCATCTGGTGTATTTCTTGACAGGTCCAGGTTGTGATCTTTAAAACACTTTTTCTTGTTTTATGTGGGGCTAGAATGAACACATTGAAGGTGAAGGTTTTCAGCCATTGCCTGTGCTCCTGACTTTTCTTAAAAATGTGAGCAAGGAAGTTAAATAGTAATTTTTCCGTAAGACATCTTGGTTCAGTTTCCTAAACACAGATCTCTCCTGCACTTGAAATGCCCTGGTTCACCTTGTTTTCCCTGTAACTTCTACATGGCTGAAGACCTTTTGAAGGTCCTGGGCCATATCCACCGATGCCACATTGACCTCTTAGATGCCATAAAACGACAATGTATTGAGACAGCTAAATTAATTACATGGTGCTGAGTTTATAATTGATTTCCCAGCTAAAAACATCACACTGCTTGAAGGAAAAACTAGCTAACCGGACAAAGATCACAGGTCATTCATCTATCAGTGTATGTGATTACTTTTACTAGAGTACATTCACAAATGATGAAACAAAGCTTTGAATATCGGCCAGAATATATTAAAAGAAGATTGAATAATACTCCTAACATGGTAATATAATGATCTGAATACTTTAACAAGCAAGTGAATCATAACTGTGATATGATTTATTTAATTTGTCCCTTAAGACATCTCTTTAAATCCAGCAAAATAGACATAGTATTGTATAATTTGCATTTTTCCTCCCATAGTTATTTCTGCAAATAGACGTTCTTTGGTCTGGCTGCTATGTCTTGTATAATATGCCTTATTGTAATTGCTTTCAGAAAAATCAATATAATCCTACAGTGCACAAATCCAGCTAGACTGCTTGTCCTATGGTGGCAGTGAAAGAACAAATACCACTTTTATTTCAGTTGTCTGTCCGGAGCTGACAGGTTATTACGCTGCACATGAAAATGGTGGTGTTGAGAACTTTGCAGACCTGTGGGAAGCTGAGCGCAGTGCCCTTCACCCAAAAGGACTCCTGATTGTGTAACTGGCAATCTACAATTCCCTGTCACAAAGTCCCATGGCTGGCAGGATGGGGCTGCTCAGCTCTGGGTTTATAGACCCCAGATGGTCTCTCTGCAGTCACAGTGGCCTAGTGGTGAGTCAGATAAGAGAGCGACCTGTGGTCACACACCTGAGTCATTACAGGGCAGGTCATACAGCTTGTTAGTGATATAATTTCCTTGTTCAAATACGCCTGTGAAAACTTCCCAGTTTTAGGAATGAATGTTATACATTCCTTTCTTTCTTTAATCTTGCTTTCCTTTCAGGTACCTGCCTTGGGAAATGCTGTCCTGGATAATAAAATACAACAAAATGCTTAACTTCACTTTTCACCTCCCCTTGTGTCCCAGATGCATATACAGTTTCTGACCCTTCCAGTTCTTTCAGGTCTGAAGACACCAGAGTGTCGGAGAAGTTATTTTGATTTTTCATTTACATTTCAAAGCACTTTATTATAAGAATTCCACTAAGCCATCTTGTGCTAGCTATCCAAGACCTTAATGGGTGCTTCCTCCAAATGGACTCAGAATTTCTCCAGCTCTCTCACTAACACATAGAAACATTAAAGAATATTCAATGCATAGAGAAAATACTCTTCCTCACAAGAAGAAGCAGAGGTGCAGGCACTGATTTCTTCTCACTCTTGACCAGCAATAGGACCCAAAGGAATGGCTTGAAGCTGTGTCAGAGGAGGTCTCGGCTGAATGTTAGGGAAAGGATCTTCACCCAGAGGGTGTTTGGGCACTGGAACAGGCTCCCCAGGGAAGCGGTCACAGCACCAGCCTGAGAGAGCTCAAGGAGCATTTGGAGAGCACTCTGAGACACGTG